TTCAGGCAATTCTCCTGCCTCAGCCTCCTGAGTAGCTGGGATTACAGGCACGCGCCACCATGCCCAGCTAATTTTTTTGTATCTTTAGTAGAGACCCTCGTCTCTTCACCATGTTGACCAGGATGGTCTCAATCTCTTGACTTTGTGATCCACCCACCTCGGCCTCCCAAAGTGCTGGGATTACAGGCGTGAGCCACCGTGCCCGGTTAAAAATACAAAAATTAATGATCGCACCACTGCACTGCAGCCTGGGCAACAGAGTGAGACTCTGTCTCAAAAAAAAAAGAAAAAAAGCAATCTGAGTAGGAAAGATTGAAGGTGTATGGGCTAGTCAAAAGTTTACTAATAATTTATTAATATTCTACTACAGATTGATAATATTGTCCTGATGAAGGACTCAGATACAGGCCGCTCTAAAGGTTATGGTTTCATCACGGTGAGTCTCTAGTCTTTTTAATTTTTTAGTTACTTTGGGTTTGTCCACTTATTTGATTTTGCAGCTTAGCTTCATCCTCCTCCTTTAGGAACTGTCTAAATTACCCATAAACCCTAGTGCCTGAAGCTTGGACTAGCCTTCTACCCCTTGAGATGAGAGCATTGCTTGAGATTTTGGCTTTGCTTCTAACACTAACACTCTGTCAGTGGTCCTGGTATGGGGGTGTCCAGGAGTTCAAGCAGCTTCCCTTGTGCTGCACCCTGGCTCTTTGGGTAATAGTAACCAGGCTGCAGCTAAAAGGTTGGAGGCATAAGGGAGGTTAGGTATGGGCTTTTAAAGACGTAGAATTGATGTTTCTCATAACGGGTAGTAATAGGAAATTATACTCCCCTCTGGTGCTGCCCCATTTGAAGCAATTTCTGCATTGAGAAGGATCAGTTATTAACATAGCAAGCACTGTGGGGAGAATAGTGAGGCTACCTAATTATGGGCAAGTTTCACCTTTTACTGACATTCCAGCAAAATTATTTCCAATTCCTATATCCGGTTCTTCCAGCCCCATGTGACTCCAGGCTTGAGAACTGGCTGCCAGCCACAAAATCTGATAGAAGCTGGTATTTTCTGGGTTTAATCCAGGCAGCATACACCCCCACAGTTACCCACAGGCAGAGGGGCATTAGGTTGTATTCTGCCATTGGAATTGCTCACCTCACAAGTAGCCAGTAAAGGCAAGCCATGTGTAGCACCTGCCTAGGAACTGTCAGTACCACATGCCAGGCCCTAGGCAGGTAATACTGTTAGCTAGCTAAACAAAGCTAGCTGTGGTGTTGACAATTCTTTGGTGGTGAGTAACCTTTGTAACTTTTTCTAGCTCTCTGACTGAGATATGGAAAGGCTTCTGTGTGGCATTTTTGCCCTTGTGTTGTTGCCTTTTAGGTCAACAACCTTGACATTTATACAAACAGCAGATTGGGAATCCTTTATACCAGGATGCTGCTGGGTACTGCTGATAAAAGGGACTAGAGAGTAAAGGCCTTCAGGTCAGCAGATCACTTGTAATCAGCAACTCTGGTGTGTATGTGAGGGTGTGCATGCTGCCTTGGTGTCAACACTAGGGTGTGTTCCCTTCTAAGCCTGGAATTAGGAATTCCAGATTCCTAGTACTTGACTAAGAATTCAAACTTACTAGTACAAAGAACTGAATTAAAAGCCCACTAGCCTTGGCTCTCAGCCTGTCTTCCATTTGATATACCCATTTTTGAAATAACCTGTTAGTCCAGGTTTCCTACAGTAATAAACTTTTGCAGGCTGGGCGCAGTGGCTCACACCTGTAATCCCAGCACTTTGGGAGGCCAAGGTGGGCAGATCACAAGGTCGGGAGATCAAGACCATTCTGGCCAACATGGTGAAACACCTTCTCTACTAAAACACACAAAAAAAATTAGCTGGCTGTGGTGGCACGCACCTGTAGTCCCAGTTACTTGGGAGGCTGAGGCAGGGGAATCGCTTGAACCTGGGAGGCAGAGGTTGCAGTTAGCCGAGATTGCAATTGAGCCACTGTAATCTAGCCTGGTGATAGAGCAAGACTCCATCTCAAAAAATAAA